GAGCTCAGGAGTTGAGACCAGCTTGGGCAACATAGTGAGACCTTGTCTTTACAAAAATAAAATACAAAAATATTAGCCGGGCATCATGGCATTGGACTGTGGTCCCAGCTACTCAGGAGGCTGAAGCAAGAGAATTGTTTGAGCCTTGGAGGTGGCGGTTGCAGTGAGTCCAGATCACACCATTGCACTGCAGTCTGGGTGACGGGAGTGAAACCCTATCTATCTCAAAAAAATAAAATAAAATAAAAGGAAGAAAAAACAAGCCATAGAATGGGAGAAAATAATTGCAAAAGACACATCTGATAAAGGGACTATTATCCAAAATACACAAAGAACTCTCAAATCTCAACAAGAAAACCTTACGACTTAAAAAATAAGCAAAAGACCTTAACATACACTTCACCAAACAAATATACAGGTGGCAAATAAGCATATGAAAAGATGATCAACATGTCATTAATAAACTGCAAATGAAAACAGTAAGATATCACTATACACCTATTGGAATGGCCAAAATCCAAAACACTGATAACACCAAATGCTGGTGAGGATACAGCAATGGGAACTTTCATTCATTGCTGGTGGGAATGTAAAATGGTACAGCCACTTTGGAAGACAGTTTGGCAGTTTCTTAGAAAACTAAAGATAGTTTTACCAACGATCCAGCAATCATGCTCTTGGTTTTTACCCAAATGAGTTGAAAACTTCTGCCCACAAACAAAACCAGCTTAATGGATATTCACGGTAGTGTTACTTCAAAATTGCCAACAATTTGGAAGCACCTAAGATGTCCTTTACTAGGTACTGATAAACTGGTACATCCAGACAACGGAACTATTATTCAGTGCTAAAAAGAAATTAGCTACCAAGCCATGAACAGACATGGATAAATGCATATTAAATGCATATGACAAAGTAAAATATGCCAATCTGAAAAAGTTACACACTATATGATTCTAACTCTGATATTCTGAAGGAAGCATAACTATGGTATTGGGATTCACTCGGGGTGGTTGGCAAAATATTAGGGAAAGTTATAAGATTATAGTCTCAAACCTTTTGGAAGGCCAAAAGGTTTTAGTGGAACAGGCTGAAGGCAGTCAGTTCTTACATTAGAACTTTAAGTCACAGGGTAAAGGTTAGAATAATAAAAGCTTTCCCAGGTAAGTCTGTTTACCCCACATTCCTTTTTCCCTACACTAATTTGTTCCCTCATGTAAACTTTGTGCTGGATGTCCCTCTCAGGGGGATGTCGAAGGGAAATAAGGGAAATTACCCATTAATGGTGTTTATTCTGGGTCCGGGAACCAAGACCTTTTATCATTCATAAAACCACTCCTTTAACCATGTTAATTATCCACAAGCGTGTTGACTTAGAACCTCTGTTAGTATGCAAGGAAGGACAGGGAGTTGTGGTTGATTAGCTGCAATCGCCCTCTGAAAGTAGTTGACGACTGTCCCTAGCCCACTCGACTCACACTGTACTCTGGTGTGTATGAGTGTATTTCATTCATCTGTTGCTGAATCAGGGTCTGCAGGACAGACCTCCGCAAGTGGTGATCGAGGTCTCAGGTGGTGACCCCAACATGATACCCATCACAGCTGGCACCCAAACAGGGACACTGATGTGATGCCTCAGGTGGTGACCCCAACGTGACCGAGGTCTCACTATGGTGACAGCAAAAAGATGAGTAGTTGCCAGAGGTCAAGAGAGGAAAGAATTAATAGGTGGAGCAAGGAATTGTAGGGCAGTAAAACTATTCTGTGTGGTACTATAATGATGGATACATGTCACTACACATTAGCCAAAACCCAGAGATAATTCAACACCAAGAGTGAACCCTAATGTAAACTATGGACTTGGGGTGGTAGTGATGTGTCAATGTTGCTTCCGTGGTTGTAATAATATAACCACTGTGGTGGGTGTGTGTGTGTGGGGGAAAGGGGAATGGGAAACTCTGTAGTTTCACTTAATTTTGCTGTAAATCTATAACTGCTCTAAAAACTGAATTTTATTTGAAAAATAAAAGGAATACAAGCACACTGTAGGGAAATTCAAACAGAACAGAAACACACAAAATGAAAAGCAAGTCATTCTTCCCTCTATCCTTGTACATAAAGGTCACCACCAAGCAGTTTCCAACGTATAGTTCAAGACACACAAATGCACACACAGAAATGTATAATACATGTGTATATATATATTTACATAAAAGATAAATGTATATGCATATGTGTTTAGTTCATATATGCTCAGATATTTGGTTTTTTTTTGCTTTAAGTTCTGGGATACATGTGCAGAACATGCATGTTTGTTACATAGGTATACATGTGTCCATGGTAGTTTGCTGCACCTACCAACCTGTTATCTAGGTTTTGAACCCTACGTGCATTAGGTATTTGTCCTAATGCTCTCCCGCCCCTTCTCCTCCACCCCCCATATATGTACAACTTTTTTAAAGAGGAAAGAAACTGATGCATCTGCAAACTCTTCAGCAGAAAGCTCAGCTCTGGTTAAGTAATGGCTCATGTGATAACGTGATATAAGAAATACATATCTGACAGTCTGGTGGGACTGAGCCCTTTAACCTACCAGGTCTGCAGTGAGTGACTCCAGCTAAGGTCAGAATTCAGCTGCATTATGGATACCAAGTTGGCGTCAGAGAATTGGTCAGTGTGGGGGAAAAAAACACACATCTGGCTGAGGGTGAAGCACAGAGAGTTTTGCTTGGAGTTTTCCTTCTCAATTCACATTCTGACCTGGTGCCCCTCCTGGCATGCACTGGGGAAATGGAGACTTAGCTAGCCTGAGCTGGTCTGAGTGGCTCACAACCTCCACACACTGCCAAGGGAGCAGCTGGGCACTCGTCCATCCCAGGTCACTGGGCAAGAGAGAGGGAGGCAGCAGCCTAGAGCAAGGTGCCAACAAGAGCCTGGAGCCCAGAACTTGAGATGGAAGGTCCAAGACAAGGCAGAAACATCTACTATGGTATAGCCCTGTTCCAAGGATCTCAGCCAGCGACCTGAGGCCAGGCCTCCTCTTCCATACCTCAGTTGTCCCATGGGCAAAACCAGGGGCATCCATTTTTGAAGTCCTTCCTTCCTCTGGGATCTTAGGATTTCTGAAGGGGACCTCTCTCAGCTTTCACCCCAAATCCTAGACTTACAGACTCACAAAATGTCCATATTGGAAGGGATCATGTTCTAACTCCCTTGGTTTTGTGGCTAAAATACGCTAGGAACATGGCTTGCTCAAATCACACGCTGTGGCAAAGAGGGTCTGTGGTAGAGCTTGGCCTACTGGCAGCTGGTGGCAAAACCTGACACCCCCTCACAGTGCTGCATCACAAAACCTGTGCTGCTTCCATCCAAGCTGGACTGAGTTCACTGGTGGTCCCCGTGGGTCCTTCCCTTGGCCACCTACTTGAAGACCCCTCCTCCAAGGAAAGAAGGAGACAGTGCAATAAGCCTGCCTTAAACAAGGGTCTGCCAAGGCCATTCCTCATGGCCAGAAGGTTCCAGAAACCCTCCGTGTATCAGCTCACAGTTCCCCATAGCTATGATGATGAGGGAAAGCAGACAGAGCCCAAACTCTGCCCCACGCACCCCTTCAGTGGCAGGAGCTGGCCCCAGCAGACCATGTACCTAACTGTGGCTGTGGAATTCCATGGAGTGAGCCACACTATTAATCAATCCATTAACCACAGAGGCACTGATTAATAATGGTTGACTTTTTTCACAACGTTTTGTTACGGAGCACGTATATAAAACAGAACAATAACAATTATCTACTTAAGACCCATCTTGACTCATCCCACAACCCACCCACTCCCCTGTATTGTTTTTAAGCAAATCCCAGACATCATATATTATTTCATCTGTAACTGTTCATATCTCTAAATATTAGGAACTTTAATATAAATACATACAGATGCTCCTTGACTTAGGGTGGGGTTACACCCCAATAAACCCATCATGAGTTGAAAATGGATTTCATGCTGGCAACACAGCAGCCCCCAACTTATGATGGTTCCACTTACGATTTTTCAACTTTACGATGGTCTAAGAGTGGCATACACTCAATAAAAACCATAGCCTCATTGTAACCCCATCGTAAGTGGAGGAGCTGGTTACATCCCCATAAGCCCTTCTTAAACTGATGTAACCCCATCATAAAGTTGAAAAACTGTAAAACCAACCACCTTGAGTCAGTGACCGTGTGTGTGTGTGTGTGTGTGTGTGTGTGTGTGTGTGTGAGAGAGAGAGAGTGAGACAGAGAGAGAGGAGAGAGAATGAATGTGTGTGTGTGTGTGTGTGCTTATATAACTACAATAGAGCTGGGACTCTAAATTGAGATCAGGCTTCTATACCAGCAAAGGACTCAGGTGCAGATTCACATTAGGAAGACTGCGAGCATGGAATGCTTGAGGGGGCACCTGTCAATATAAGACGGCAAGAAAACCAACTTCCCCAGGACTCTTCCAGGACCACTGAGCTCTGCCTAGTGATGATGCTGCCAACCATCTGTAAATGATGTTTTCCAAAGTCCAAAATGCAGACCCACAACCTTGTTCACCACTGTTACCCCAGGGTCTGGCTAAATGTGCACACTACAAATGCAGCTCGAGTGAAAGAATGGAGGGAGTTCTGGGGCCTGGCCTCTGCTTTGCCAATTAGTCCATTTTCTCCTTTATAATCTCTTCCTTCATTGGCTCCTAAGATCATTTAAGTATCAAATAGGATGTATTTGGCCTCCAGGGCAAGGAACTTCATAATGAACACACAAATCTAAGGCTCTCAGTAAGAACAGCACATTCCCACAATATGCAATTGGCCTTCTGTAGAGCGGGACCCACCTGGTACATGACAGTCAACTCTGTCGACCGCTGAACGGCTACAAGTCTCCAGAACATACACGCTCCAAACCTCTCCTCCAGGCAAACCTTTCCTCCAGGTCTGTTCATTTGCACTATTAAGTCCATTTGCTTCTGAATACCTACCATCTATGGCCCCCAAAAGTCTTGCTCAGATCTAACCGGGATGCCCAGGCCCAGCTCAGCCTTGCCTAGAAGCAGGCAGTGTGACGTGCAGCTCCGTGCTGCCCAGAGTGTGTTCTCTGACACCAGCTTAGTATCTTGCAAGTTGTAAAGTCAGCAGGTATGTAGTTGAAGGAGAGAGAAAGACAGACAAGAGCAAGAGATTAGTTGCCCAAAAAGTTGAGAAAAGGCTGACTACTACATATAGTTATATACTGTAACTACACATCCCCTGTCTAGGAAACTGCCAGTTTGCAATAGAATAAAAGCTCTGATAAATCCTGTAACAAAGAAGCCTGCTTAACTCTACCCTCAAATTTCCCAAACTAATTATGCCATCATAATAGTTACCATTTACTGAACACTTTTCATGTGCCAGGCACTGTGTTAAGTGCTTCACATGCAATCAAAGTTTACAACAACCCTGAGACAAATACTAAAATTATCCTTCTCATATCAGAAATGAAGACTGACGGACAGCGAAGCTGTGTAACTCGCCCAAGATTATAGCTACTGAATGGCTAAGCCAGGCAGATGGCCTCCAAAGCCCAGGACTTTACCACTATACTATACTTCCTCACAGAGTCCACTGGTCCCAGGAACTAGTATTTTAAGGACACAGCTTTAGAAACACTGGTGATGAAATATCATAATATTAGGAATCAGAATACCTGGCTTCTACGTCCAGTTTCACTGTATGATCTCAGGTACTTCATTAAAGGCAGTGGGGGACGGTGAGAAGAACATGGACTCTGAAGCCAGAATACCCAGGTTCACATCCCAGTCCTGCTCGTCAGCTATGCAACCTTGACAGTTTACGTGACCTTTCTGCACCTCAGTGTTCCCCATCTGTAAAATGGGGATAGTAACAGTTTAATTCCAAGTTTGTTCTCATTATATCATGTAACATATCATGATATCCTGTTTCTCCAAAACAAAATAAGAAAGAGAAGACCCTGGGCCATTTGATAACTGAAGGGGGAAGGGAGGGGTGGGAGAGAAACCCAGAACTGGGGAAGGCCAGGGCAGTGTGAAGAGTGGAGGACGGGAGTGGGGAGCACACCGGCATGGCTGTGTTGGGTTTTCCAGCCTCCCAATAGAGAAAGCACCAACAGGAAACTGGCACTGTTTTCTTTCCGTCCCCTCCACATGCCTGGGTGTCTGGGGGTCTGGTCCAAGCTCAGGAGTAGATGGGGCAGCAGAGGCAAGACTGACAGTGGACGGAGGCCATGGGGCAGAGGGATCTGAAAGACCCTCGGAGAAGAAACCTGCCTGGGAAAGGGACCTGCAGAAGCAGGGCCTCAGCCTGCACAAGCTCCAAGCCTGCGGGCACTGGAGCCCATTCTCAGGACCTTCACTGCAGCATGGCACAGACGGTGCCATCTTCTCTCCCCTGCCTGCCTTTCCACACCAGGTCTCTGGTGCTGAGAAGGGGCAGGGGCGAGTGAGAAGGAACTCACTTTCCATAGGAGGGAGGCCAAGAGCACACAGCATCATACACAGGTCTCTCTGTCACACTCCACAGCAGGCTTCCCTGCAAGCTGGGCCACTCCTCTTTGTGGGCAGAGTCCCCTCGGAGGCCTGGCCACACCACACACCTCACAGAAGAGCCAATGCTTGGTCAAATGCCAGGTCCAGTTCAAAATTTCTGAGAAGTGGAAAGTGGGCAGCAGAGGAAGGTGACAGAGACACAACATTACTATGTGGCTGTCATGCAGGCCAGGCTGCGGTGGGCACTCAGGTCCTGGAGGACACCGAGATTCTTGTAACGGACACAGTGGCAGTGACAGGAAAAGTCCCCATCCAAGTCCTGACTCCAAAGTGTAGATAGGACCTGCTGTAGTTTGAATGCTCTTATCTCCCCCAGATTCATTATTGAGATCCCAGCTCCCAGTGTGATGACATTTGGAGGTGGGGCCTCTGGAAGGTTATGAGGTTGGAGCCCTCGAGAATGGGATTCATGCCCTTATAAAACAGAGCCCAGAGAGCTCAACCCTTTCCACCATGTGGGGACACGGGGAGAAGGTGCTAGCCTATTTGTGAACCAGAAAGTGAGCCCTCATCAGGCACTGAGTCTGCTGGCACCTGCATCTTCGACTTCCAGCCTCCAGAACTGTGAGCAATGTTTCTTTCTGTTGTTTATAAGCCACGCGGTCTGTGATATTTTATTACAGCAGCTTGAACAGATTTAGACAGAACCTAAGGACACACAGACAGACAGACAGACAGACACACACACACACACACACACTCACTCTCAAAAAGGGAAACGGTGGGTTGTGTTTGTAAGTGCAGGTGGCGGGGAGGGGACACAGGTCTCGGTCTTTGCTCACTTCCGCATGGGGAAACCACCCCCAGTTACAGCACCTGAGCAGAGGAGCTTCTCCCAGGGTCAGCCTAGGAGAGACGAGACGAGCACCACAATGGAAGTGAGCTGATGTCAATCAGGCTCAAGTGCCAGGGTGGCTGAGGTCCCCCTGTGGGTCCCACCCCTTATAGTTGTCAAGTCACTCCATTCACTGCAAAGTCCAACCCAGTTTCTCCCAGAGCTCCTGGGCCCACAGGGATGTGCCACACCCCAAGCCCTGTAGCAGTTACTGTCTACAAGGTAACCCTTCCAGCCCCTCTGCCTGAAAAAAGCAAGGGGAACTCCTTCTCTAAACCCCTCCCTCATCTTGCAGTGTAGGGAAGAGGGAGCTGAGTGGCTCACCCAGGACCCGCAGCCCTAGCCTCACTGACATTGACTTTCACAATATCTACCCCTAGATTCTTGGCAGGTCCTTCTACCGACCCCAATCACCCTTTCTCTCATATTCTAAACCAGCTCCCCCATCTTTTCACGGCCCACAATCCCCCATCAGGGGCTGCAACCATCACAGGACAGTCTACAAGAGACTTCTCAATTCTGCTGCATGAGTTTTACCACAGCCCTCACAGCTCTGATATCATCTTCTAGCACTGCTGCTGGGCCACCAGGGTGGTACACAGGTTTGGAGTCCAGTGACAATGATTCTATTCTAGCTCTGCCCCTTGTTAGCTGGATATACAGATTGACCTCTCTGAGCCTTTTTCCTCACCTGTAAAAAGAGGAAAAATGATCCATCTCATTATACAGCTGTCAGAATGTAATATTCTGATATATATATGAAGCTCTCCAATGGGTATTAGCATGCAGCAGGTGCTCAGTTAACTTTAACTTACTCCCTAGGAAGCATTAGCCTGGAGCCAAGGTCTGGTTCCTATCACCACTGCTTGCTGTGTGACCCTCCCTGGGCAACTTAACCTCTCTGAGCCTCCATGCTGTCTGCAAGATCTGATGTGCCCCGCCTACCGTGGATTACTATGAGGACTAAAAGTAAAAGAACAGGAATGTGCTTTGTAAAGCCTGACACAGTTATCTTCACTCTGTGGCCAACACACCTAGTGTTGGTCTCTCTCAAGTGGCCAAAGAGGCCAGGCTCTGACATTTGGAGAGGGAAAAAAGGGTCATGGATCCTGGGCAGACACTAACCCGGCCGGGTGTCAGGCTCCTGCCTCCCAGGGGATCAGCCCAGTCCACACAGTGAGGGGAGTGTCCAGCCAACTCTTAAGGTCCTGGGGCCTCAGGACAATGCTGGTAAGGGAAACGTACAGGGAAGGTTTTTCAGAACCTCGGCTACCATCAGCTTCCTTGATTAGGTCCCTCAAAGATATCCCCGGAACCTGTGAATGCGTTACTTTACATGGCAAAAGGGAGTGTCCTGATTGATTAAGGTTATCCGCCATGAGATGGGGAGACTAGGCTAGATTCTTCAGGTGGGCCCAATCCAATGGGAAAGGTCCTTCAAAGCAGAGAGCCTTTGTGGATGGGTTAAAGAGGAAAAGGAAGAATAAGCAGGAGAGAATTCAAGCATGAGAGGGATTCTACCAACTGAGGAAAGGAGCCAAGTGCAAGGAACGCAGATGGCCACTAAAGCTGGAAAGGACAAGGAAGCATTCACCTCTAGGAACTCCAGACACGCAACCCTGCCAACACCTTGATTTTAGCAACATGAGATCCAAGAGACCATGAGATAAAACTGTTAAGATAAAAAAGGTGGGTGGTAAAATAGTGCAGCCACTATGGAAAACAGTAGAGAGATTTCTCAAAAAATTAAACATAGAACTACCATATGATCCAGCAATCTCACTCATGGGCATACAGGCTGAGTACCCCTCATTCAAAATGTGTGGGATCAGCAGTGTTTCAGATATTCTGGTCTTCAGACCAGATGATTTCAGATTTTGGAATACTGGCCTTACACTTACCACTGCGCACCCAAAATCCAAAAATCCAAAATGCTTCGATGAGCACTTCCTTTGAGCGTCACGTTGCAGCTCAAAAAGTTTCAGATTTTGAAACATTTCAGATTTGTGATAGTCAACCTATATACCCAAAGGAAATGAAAGCCAGGACTCCAACAGACACTTGTACACCCATGTTCACAGCAGCCTCATTCACAGTAGTGAAAAGGTGGAAACAGCCCAAGCACCCGTGATGGATGAATGGATAAACGAAACAAGGTCTCCATGTAAAAACAGAGAATCATTCAGCCTCAAAACAGAAGAAAGCTCTGACATGCTACAACATGGGCAAATCTTGAATCTATTATGCTAAAGAAAACAAGCCAGGCACAAAAGAACAAATATTTCTGATTCCACTTATACAAAGTCTCCAAAGTAGTGAAATTCATAAGGACAGAAAGTAGACTGCTGTTGCCAGGGCTCAGGTAAGAGGGAATGGGGAGTTTACATTTCATGAGCACACAGTCAGTTTGGGAAGATGAGAACCTTGTGGAGATGCATGGTAATGACTGTTGTGTAACAAAGAGAATGTATTTTAACAACACTGAACTGCACACCTAACAGTGGGTAAAGTGGTAAATTTTACGTTGTGTGTGCATACATATACACATATGTGTGTGTGTGTGTGTGTGTGTGTGTGTGTGTGTATTTTTTTTTTTTTTGAGATGGAGTCTCACTCTGTTGCCCAGGTTGGAGTGTGGTGGCATGATCTCGGCTCACTGCAACCTCCATCTCCCAGGTTCAAGCGATTCCCTGCCTTAGCCTCCCGAGTAGCTGGGATTACAGGTGCCTGTCACCATGCCTGGCTAATTTTTTGTATTTTTAGTAGAGACAGGGTTTCACCATGCTGGCCAGGCTGGTCTTGAACTCCTGACCTCAGGTGATCCGCCCACCTTGGCCTCCCAAAGTGCTGAGATTACAGGTGTGAGCCACTGCGCAAGGCTCTGTGCATATTTTTACCACAAAAAAAGTTGCATGGTTTTAAGCCACAAGTTTGTAGTAATTTGTTACAGCAGTAACTGAAAGCTAACATACTGTACACAACGAGGTGGGGAGCGGTTGAGAGATGATGTTCAAAGGGTACAAAATCTCAAGCTGGGCACAATGGTGTGGTCTATAGTCCCAGGCACTTGGGAGGCTGAGGCAGGAGGATTGCTTGAGCCCAGGGATTTGAGGCTGCAGTGGGCCTTGATCACACCATGAAAAGCCACTGCACTCCAGCCCAAACAACACAGTAAGACCTTGTCTCAAAAAAAAAAAAAAAAAAAAAAAAAAACCTCAGTTAAAGAGGAGGAATATGTTTTTTCCTTTGCACAGCATGATATAGTTATTAACAGAGTACTACACATCTCAAAATTGCTAAGAGAATAAACTTTAAACTTTCTCACCGCAAAAAATAAGCATTTGAGGTAATATATTAACTAGTTTGCTTTAATTACTTCATATTGTGTTCATAGATTATAACATCACTTTGTACTCCATAAATTTACATACTTATAAATGTTAATTTACAATAAAAAATGTTT